TCGCGCTGCTTCCCTCTGGTGAATAAGTTTAAAAAACAAGGATCAGTAGAAAGGAAAACTGGATCGGAAAGTCACAACAGCAAGAGGGATCATCATTTCAACTTGGAGCTATATATATTCTTAGTGTTCAATGTAGAGTCCAGTGGTGTTATAAAACCTTGCAGAATTCCAGTAAGATATCTTTAATCATTTCTAAGATAAAACGATTCAAGGCTTAATCTAACACTTGGACAATTTTACTGTTACACCCAGTATACATAATTATAATTTTTTTTTTTTAAATATTATAATTATTTTTTTAAAAATATTTTTTTTTTTAAATATATTTTTAAAATATTTAAAAAAAAAATATGATTCCTTTTATAATCTAAGATCTACTTCTGTATGGAGCACTGTTTTTGAAAAATAAAAACAAAAATACTAAAGAACCCTGGATTATTTACCTAACGTGTTCTTTCCTATTTTTCTACATATACACACACACACACACACATATATATATATATATATATGTACTACTGGACAGAATTTTAAGGTCAATGAAAATAAAGACAAATTGTACCTTTTACGTTGTTAGAGTCAAGCACTTACTTGAGTAGATTTTCAAAAAATGAAATAACACACACATAGACAAAGACTCGTATACACTGATACGCACAGAGAAACACACATAATCATGTCGGCATGTACAGACAGACAAGCTTACACGAGCCCAGACACACATTTTCCCTCCCTTTTTACTCGGTTATATAATAGAGAACCTTTTCTGTCTGCCATCAGCATGGTTTATGCTAAACTCCAGGAGAACGACACTTTGCACCTGCTTAGCCTCACGTTTTCCACTGACATGGAGCAACTATATTGATTCAATTGCTACATCTACTGCTAGGAAAGTTGCTTCACTGCGTCATGCAAGAAAATCTTTCCCGTCAGAGTCCATCTTGTACATTTATAAATCTACCATTCGTCCTTGCATTAAATGTTGCTGCCATATCTGGTCTGGTACTCATACTGTATATCTAGAGATTCTTGGCAAAATTCAAAAACGGGTCTGTAAAAGTCTATACAACCCGGTCTGTCCTGCTATTTACTCATAGCTGGGGAAGGGGAGAAGAAGAGGATTCATACATTTTCCAAGGACATTCACTTACGTACTAATAACCTTGGGTTAGCAAGGTCCGAGAATAATTGTCGGACTTTGTCCACTTTATAATGTGTAACGTCATTTGTTTACATTTGATACCTCATGAGCAGATATGAATGTACGTGAGAGATTCCTAGAAGATTGAAGTTTAAATACAGTAAATTCGACTTTGCTAACCGAATGTTCCTCTGTGGCCAGGTCAAGCTAAATGACGGTTCCGTATAGGATACAGATTCGAATCCTGTCGGAGGACGAATATTTTCTGTGAAAATTTCTCGGACATCCAGACCAGTAAATGTTGTTTAATACTGTTTATTAAAAAATAGATCATTTACTTAAACATTTGTATCAATAAAAAGAATACCCGCTGGGCCCGGTGGCTAGGATCAAAGTGTAGTATCTGCGCTTTGTGAGCTGCCGGGTCGGGTGTCTGTCGAACTCTTTGCTTGCAGAGAGGAACCCGGACGAAGCTCCGCCGAAGGGTGGGGTTTCGTTCGGGGAGGTTGACGGAACTAGCCCGCTTGGACGGCTTTAGATGGGTTTTATTTTTGGCTGGGCCTACGGGCTCAGACATACCCACATTAAAAAGGCCTTGTGCCACATTCAATTCCTGTGGGTGAATTGATAAATACCATCTATAAAAAGAATGTATAGATATAAAAATGTCTTAAAATACTATAGCATATATATATATATATATATATATATATATATATATATATATATATATCATTGTGGTAGTTTAATATAAAAAATTAAGTTGTCCATGTTGCCACGGAGGTTATCACAATGGTAAATAATAAACAAAGGGAAATGTTAAAAAATGTATGAAAATTAACAAGTCATTTCTTGTTAAGTTAATAGCAGATTGTAGTTTACGTTTTTAGTTCAGCTGCCAATTTGACTATGGAACCGATCAGACTTACTACTGATTTTAAACAAGCCAATAAAAGACTTAACCTTTGCGCGCTATAATAATATAGGTCACTTTGCAAATTATAAAATACATTCAATACATTGCAAAAGATGGTGAAAAAATGATCAGTTAATTATTCGGCCCCACAGAATCCATCTACCGACCTCCATCATTCCAAGAGTCAGGTTAAACCAAAATTGAACTACTGCTGAAATGATGTAGCGATATCAGCTGATATTTTGCTAAGGACCTACGTGCAACGATTTACAGAAATCTCTTTGACAATTATCTGTTTCGCAAAGAATGTCAGCTTAATGGAATTGATCCTGACAAAGAAGGTCCACTAGTGATCTTGATCAATGAGTTTTTTTTGGTTTTTTTTAGATGGAGTTAACAAGACATATGTCGATGTTCTGCATAAGACAGTGGTCACTAGCAGCTGAACAAACAGAAAGCCCCAGGGAGGAACAAGAGACCGCCTTGCCGTGACGCGAAAAGGAAGACACGTCCGTTAAGACTGACCACCTTCGCTAGCCTCTGCCTCAGCAGATGGATACAACCAAATAAAATTTGCCTACTGCTACAACCGGCACATGGTTTTAATTCATTTTTAATCTGGTCAAAGGGTTGGACTGGAAAGAGATGTACCTTGAGTACGAACCTGGTGTCTGGTCTGAGCTGCAGCGTTGCAAAATGCCTCGAGCTATAGATTCTCAATCCAAACTCTTCAACGTCGACAGAGTTCCCAGTTTTTTGGAGAGATGAAGTATTCACCTTTATATTGTCTCTTTCCAACTGAAGCGACGTTGCCAGACTATCGCTATTTATTACTATTTCCATGTGAAATGTTCGGATTATCTTCATTTCTTTCTTCCAACAGTTTAGTAATTTAAAGCTCGTACTTATCATGCTACTTCCGCGGAGTCGATGCATCCTCATTTCCACTGTATTCCAAGTTCAGCATCACACCGTATCACCACACTCTCAGAAACCGCTATTTTATGGCAGAGACTCCCCGCGTAGAATCTTTCCAGAACATTGCAATCTTAACCTTTTCTAGTCAGGGGTTAATCAGTATTCTCCCCATCTTCATAATCGTCACTTACGACCAAATCATGTTATATTCATATCACCCACCTCATTCAGTAACACTCTACCTAGAGTGACTCATGAGCCATGTAATGCTGAACATTAGTAAATAATTAATTAAGCACAACATGTCTAAACGTTGTGATCCCCCCAAAAAAAACACGAAAAACAAAAAAAAAATACAAAACAAAATTTACATTGTCCTCACTTTCATTATCATATTCACGACGTTTAGGCCGTTGTACGCTCTGGCCTTCTTTATTAAGAATTTCGAACTGAACCGTTTATTTCGCCCACTGGAGATACATTGTTCTAGTTCCACGTGTCATACCTTTTCTGGATATCTCAGTTTCAGTTCTCTCCCTTTAGTAACTAAATTCTCGAAGTTTTTTTCTTCAGTCCTGCTGTGGTCCGGTATTGCACTCACAACTCGTTGAGTCAAGTTACTGGATTACTTCAACCGACGCTTTTATCCGCCGGGCTAAGGGCATATGTCCGGGCCGGACAACGACCGAAACGTTGTGAATGAGACAATAAACAACGGCAGCACTTTGAACAATGTACATAGTATAAGTAGTTACAATACCTCATCTTAGAAATATAAACAGATCCTGAAGAAGGCCGGAGCCTACAACGACCGAAACGTCGTCAATATGACAATAAAAATGAGAGCAAAAGTCCGAACAATGTAAATAGTGTAAATAGTTACAATACCTTATCTTAGAAATATAGACAGATTCTGAAGAAGGCCGGAGCGTACAACGACCGAAACGTCGTGAATATAGCAAGAAAAATGGGAGCAACATTCCGAACAATGTAAATAGTGTAAATAGTTACAATACCTCATCTCAGAAATATAGACAGATCCTGAAGAAGGCCGGGGCCTACAACGACCGAAACGTCGTGAATATAGCAAGAAAAATGGGAGCAACATTCCGAACAATGTAAATAGTGTAAATAGTTACAATACCTCATCTCAGAAATATAGACAGATCCTGAAGAAGGCCGGGGCCTACAACGACCGAAACGTCGTCAATATAGCAAGAAAAATGAGAGCATCAGTCCGAACAATGTAAATAGTGTAAATAGTTACAATACCTTATCTTAGAAATATATACAGATCCTGAAGAAGGCCGGAGCCTACAACGACCGAAACGTCGTGAATATAGCAAGAAAAATGGGAGCAACAGTCCGAACAATGTAAATAGTGTAAATAGTTACAATACCTCATCTTAGAAATATAGACAGATCCTGAAGAAGACCGGAGCGTACAAAGACCGAAATATTGTGAATATGAAAATAAAATTGAGAACAACAGTCTGAACAATGTAAATAGTGTAAATAGTTACAATACCCTATCTCAGAAACATAGACAGATCCTGAAGAAGGCCGAAACGTACAACAACCGAAACATCGTGAATATAACAATAATCTATCAAGTCCAAAAGCATTATGTATTCTTTGTGTGTTCTTCAAAACAATGTCTGGTTGATTTACTCAGTGTGATAGATCATTTGATTCACAATGAGATGTTTATTTTATCCATTGTAAGAAACTTTCACTTGAAAGGTTATTCGGCGAGAATATCAGATTCGTTAACCTAAGTGTAGACAAACTACGGCCCGTGGCTAACACGCGGCCCCTTGGTGATTTTTACGCGATCTATTAACATATATATATATATATATATATATATATATTGGTTACCTGTTCCATAAAATAGTAATCTTTTTCAAAACAGGAATAAAGACAACAAAGGTGAAAACCATTTATATTTAATAGCAAATGTCAATTCTTTTTCTTCTTCACCGTCTTTTATTCCGTTTTCTTCTCCCGCTGATCCATCTCCAGCTCCTCTTGCTCCACCTCCTTGTTCTTCTTTCGCCCTTCCTCCTCCTCTCGACCATTTTTCTTTTTCACCTCCACCTCCGTCTCTCACTCCTCTTTCTTCTTCTTCTTCTTCTTCTTCTCATTCTTCTTCTTCTTCTTCTTCTTCTTCTTCGTTTTTTGACTCCCGCTCCTCCCGCGATCTATCTCCTCCCTGTTCCTCCCCATCCTCCTCCTCCCGCTTCTCCTCCTTGTCCTTTCGCTTCTTGTTGTTGCCATGTTCCGCAGAGCCGAACGTAGGCTGAAGAAAGGCGGCCATTACGTAAGTTTTTTTTTGAACGAACACAATTCCCAAAATTTCTATTTCTTTAAAAAACAAAAAAACAAAAAAAAAAACAAACAAAAAACAAAAACAAAAACAGCAGAATGTCCTAAATAGGGCATACCTGGCAGCTTTGAATGTATTTACATGCATGCATTTATGTGAATGTATACATGTATATCTTAAAAACTAGAGGCGATGAGTGTACAACGGGCCTTACAAAGTATCAGAACGTTCATATAAATTTTTCATAATAAGAAAAAAAAACTATCAAAGGTACTCCATTGACAGACTGAAGCCTGCCTACATTGAGAAATCATCTGATCAGCATAAAGAAAATGAACCCGTTGTACACAAAAATAAAGACAAGAACATCTCGTCAACATGCGAAAAAGACCATCCACTCAGACAAACTAAATGTGGTAGCCATATTCAGATACATACAGGCATATATACATAAAAGAATTATTAACAGACTAATCACAAACACTTTTCTTTTCATATATTCTATATCGATCCGGAAAGGGGAGTATTTATCGGAAATGATGCAGTTTCCCGTCAAGGAAAGTTGGATAAAAATCAGATCAACTTTGGCGCAATTCTTAATATATATATATATATATATATATATATATATATAAACGCCTATGCCCGTTTTCTAAAAAAATAAAACACTCGACCACATATTTTGACCAATCAGGTGTAGAGGACAAATATAATTTCGGCCTTGTGCCACATCTAAGCCGGGCTTAGGAAATCACTATATATGTTCCGAATTGTTACGATCAAACCAACAAATTAAAATGTCATGTTAAATAGGTAATTCAAACATGGCCTCGATTGGCCTGGGATCCGTGGCGGAAGTGGTATAGACTCAGAGTAAAAATCCATTATGAACAAAGGGAATATAGGTTCGATTCATGACGCGCGCACGCTTTAAAATAGGTGGACTTATCAATTAAGATTGGTTATCATTAATTTCCTTTTTGAAGAAAAATTTTTAAAAAAAGAAGTATATCAGTAAAAATTATCTTAAAATAATAAAGAATATTATCAATAAATCTTGCGAGACTCTTATATGAAAAGGATAATTATTTTAATTTTATCTACTAAAAATAACATATTTATATGAAATAATATCGGATAAAAAAAAAAATCCTTTCACAAAATTAATAAACACTTGCTTAGATCAAGAGGTTTCCCAACAGGAACAGTATCCCCCCATTTTTTTTTTACCCCAGGGAAACCTCTTCTAGAGCCGAAGCCGAAGCATGCTATTACCAGATCGGCCTCAGGCAACCATTTTGATAAGTTACGGAAATGAAGCTAACATATATAGATTTTTAGAAGTGTCTACAGCAGACGTGTATTTCCTTAAATAAGTATTTATTATATTTTTCTAAAAAGACGTTAATTTGTGTTATTGGGAATTGGTTGCTTTTACGTAGTGAAATATCTCTGATGTATTTAATATCTAATAAACTATAAAACCTTAGAACCCTTCACTAGATTAACAAATCAGCGAGAAAAACCTTTACACATCAAATGCAAAACAGAAATTCTTATCTACACATATAGGTTAATCAAAATTCGCATTCATATCGATTGTCCGATAAGTAAATAATTTCAGATGAGTGCTCGTCATACAATAAGTTTTTTTTTAACACTTTCATAGCTACATTGTTAAAGCATTGTTGTCTAGCTGTTTGGGTGAAATAGGAAATTGCCATTGGCTGAAAATAAAGTCCTATTCATGAAAAACGTTGCTTCCCAACCAAATCTATATCCTTTTTTTTACCTCAGAGAAAACCCCTCTAAAGAATGTCATTGCCAGTCTGGCCCCAGGCGACCATCTTGACAAGGTACAGAAATGAACTTAGCATATATAGACTTGTGGAAGTTCCAACAGTAGACATGCGTTTCCTTAAATAAGTAAAAGAACTTTGCTTTATCAAAATGTTCTTCTCAAACACGTGTATTCACTAAATATAACGTTTATATTAAGAAATGTCGGTAAAAAAAAAAAAAACCTTTCCAAGGTTTATAATAGAAGATGTATTAAATATTAAACTCATTTCTCATATATTTATGTATTTTGCTCGCAAATTGTCTTATAAACAAACGAACGTACAGATAACATATGCATCTATGATTTATAAATCATAGATAGGCATCTTATTTGTACGTTCTTTTGATCATATTGTTGCTTTTAAAATTGAGTTGTTAATGTGATGCGACCGATTTAACACAGCCAACAATGATGCAGCTCTGCATGAACAAAAAGGAAGTTTTGCAAAAGACAATTGAAGTACAAAGGTTTCTCACAAACAATTGACATTATTTTGTAGTCTAATGACATAGTCAATTCTCGCTCAAATGATCTCAAATTTTAACGAAATGTGTAAAAACCTAAGTTGACTCAATGAGAATCTGCTAGGAAGCTGAATCAGGCCTATCAGCGATAATGACAATGTGCTGTTGAAATGACCACCACGTTTACCTGACATGATATCTTGTGAGTTTTTTTTCTGTGAGGCTATGTTAAAGGACAGGTCTATATCCCCCCGCCTTCCTACAAGCCAAGAAGTACTTAAGCGAAGAATCACTGCGGCGCTGGAGAATGTTACGCAAGACATGCTACAGCGTGTTTGGCGGGAGATGGACAAACGACTTGACATGTGTCATGTGAACATTTGTGAAGCTTTGTGAAATCGCTTATAAAATTTACATCCTTTTGAATCCCTTGTTCGAATTTTGATAAATAAATCCTTTATTGTTCAACATAATGCCTATTTATTTTCATTTGCCTGGGACATTGAGTTACTCAGATATTCAAATTTTAAATAATGTCAATTTTGGGAGGACACTTTGTATATTTGCGGTTTGAAATACCGTATTTTCTTGTGCATAATACCAAAATATTGAACAAAAATTAAAGGCGAAAAGGGGGAGATCGTATTATACACAATTACACGTTTTTAGAAAGTTTTAATCCACTTAAGAAAAACTATCTTTTGAAAGAGCGAGATGGCAAATGGACTCAGTAAGCACAAAAGATTATAAACTCACAAAACTGCCAGATATTTATAAAAATTGTTTACAAAAGGCATTTGATATTAATGAAAGATAATTTTTTTTTTATATTTAATATACAGAAATATAATAAAATCATATCAAAGAGGAAAGTATGACAAATTGATTAACGTCTAAAATATATATTCCCGAATATGACGAGCAACTTTCCCCGAAAATTCTAACAAAAGTTTGAAATAAAAATTAAAAGACGAAATATATAATGGCTAAAAGACCGGTTCATTTTATTCTTTAATAATGTGAAAAATAACTGTCTATATTTCTGTGATGACGTATTATGTATATTATTTACATTATTCCGACTATTGTCCTCATCGTTGTCGCCATATTTATTACACCATTTCAGCCTTTCAGTATCTGTCTATATGTCTGGAATGTCGAACTGAACCCTTTATTTCGCTCATTGGGGTAGACTGTTATAGTTCCACGCGCCATGCTTAATGGATGTCCGTTATCAGTTATCTCCTCTTAATTCCCATCTTGAGGACACATGGCACAGTGGATAAAAGCATTGGTTAGATCCAGTGACAGGACCCAAAGAGTGTGAGTTCAATACCCGGTCAAGGCAGTGGAGAACTTTCAGAGGAAAATTATCGGGCGATAACTGATAACTGACATCCATTAAACATGGCACGTGGAACTAGAACAGTCTACCCCAGTGAGCGAAATAAAGGGTTCAGTTCGACATTCCAACCACCTGAAGAAGGCCGCGGCATACATCGACCGAAACGTTGTAATAAATATGGTGACAAATATCAGGACAATAGTCCGAATAATGTAAATAATGTGAAAAATAACATTGTTACTGCAAATTATGTACATTGAATGGATAACATGGTATTTAAAATTACATAAGAATGGCTGTTCCCTAATTAAATGATATCTTAGTTATATTTCTTTTTATTTTTCGTTTCAGAACAGATTTTCGCTAAGCCGGGTTCCGAGTTTGCAGAAAATATTCAATGATTTAATTCTTTCAATGAATTTTGATTTTAAGTAATATAATCACTAAAAAAGATTATGTTGATTTTTTTCATGTTTTCATAAAATTAAGTACGGCCTGAAGCACACGTAAAAAAATATTTTTACCAAGATTTTCTAATAGAAAACAAAAAAAAAAAAATAATTTCATTAAATTTTGAAAAGTCCTGAAAATTTAAATTTAAATTAAATTTGATTTTTGCAAGAATTTCCAAAATTAATGAGTCTGTCACCCCGCCAAAAGTGGCTAAAATTTGCTATATGTTAAGTTAGTACATCTGCTGACGCAACAAAACAAGATTTTAATCAAAATTTTGAATGTTCTAAAAAAGAGTGGATAATTTCGTTAGATATTCGAAAATACTTAATAATAACAACGGTCTTGACTAGAAAACTATGTTTTCATTACGTTTGAAGCATGTTGTCATCATCTTATGCTGATTTCTAATCGATTTCGTGGGGGTGCCTATATATATACACACACAAACTCATTAATATACATACATATATATATATATATATATATATATATATATATATGTGTGTGTGTGTGTGTGTGTGTGTGAAAATATATAGAAAATAGGAAAGAACTCATTAGGTAAATAATCCAAAGTTCTTCAGTATTTTTGTTATTATTTTTTAAAAAATAGTGCTCGATAGAAAAGTAGAGCATAAATATAATTATTTATTTAAAAATATGATTCCAACACGCTACATAAAAGTTCTCATGTTTCAAAACAAGAGCCGAAAACTTCAGTATAATTATTTGAATTAAATTGAATTAAAATACTAAGCTCTGTTCCATCATCAAATTTTTGCATTGAATAATTAGCATAAAAACAAACAAACAATAAAATAATTTTCAAAATCCATAGTCCTAATAAATAGTTTAAATGCCCCACAAAAAAA